GATTTTAGCTTAAATCCTGTATATTTATTTACTCCAGGAGCCAGAGAAAGCTCACACAGACGACTGGAACACTGACTGGTCAGAAACTGCATCGTCCAGGAAGAAGACCAACAACCGAGGAGTATGAGGCGTTTGTTTGTCTTAAACTCACCATCAGCACCAGCGATGTCGCTGATAATTGTTTGTCTTTGTTCTGCAGGCAGGCCGGTCGTCCGCCTCCGCAGCGGTGAAGAAGCAGAGCTCGGACTGGAGCAGCTCCGGCTGGGACGCCGACGACAGCTGGTCCAACGAGAAAGAAGGCCAGGGTCAGAGTTCTGCGGGCGAGGAGGGGTGGGGCAACGACTGGGCGGAGGAGGAAGAGACGGACGCCACCTCCGCCGGTACAGCGGCGCACCTGCCAGAGGGCGTGCGCTTAGCCAGCGAGTACAACTGGGACACTGGCGGCGGTTCGGCCAAAGCAGCCAATCAGAACGACTTGTTCGCAAGTTTGTCACAGAGAAACACCGGCGCTGCGACGGTGAGAGAAAAACACGGAGAAACAGATTCAACCGGTGTTAGACATTTTGAATTCTTTCACTTCTGAGAGTCAATTTGCCCAAAAACATTTCAAACGTATCGTTCTAAAATATGCAGAGAAGTCATCTGAATGTCTGCGCAGCCAGCAAAAAGTTTTCTTTTATTCACACTTTAAAATCACTTGAGCAACAAATATCTGGTGTAAAATCTGAAATCAGAAAACTAATTTAAAAGAATAGTTTTGGATTATAACATGCATTATTTAGGCCAGTTTAAAGGGATTCATGATTAGTTGTAACATTAGACTGTATTTGATAAACATTTATTTTAACTGTAAAATAAAGACTGTAAAAATACTGTAGGCTGTTTAGTTTTGTAAATTTTAAAAATATATTTTAACATGAACAGAGCCATTTTATTTACACGCAAAGCATTCTGGGTAAATGATGACGTGGATAGGTCCTTGGTCTGAGCAAGCTATGACAATATCTGATGATCGACTCTTTTAAATGAAATCAGAGAGCGTTGACAGAGAGGAGAAGGTAGAAATGACTCAGCCTGTAACTGAAAATATGGATGGAGGACAACAGAGCTGCTTCATGGAAGAAGAACTTCGACTTAGCCTGTTAGCCTTTGCCCTAGCGCCAATGCTATATTGCCTTATATGTATTAGTTCAGCGCTAGCGCATCAAACAAGCTAAACTGAGGTCCTCCATCCATATTTTCAGTTGCAGGCAGAGTTCCCCTCTCTGTCATGTGGATGGAGGACCTCAGTGATGAGAGGAGAATGTGTAGCTCTGAGCTAATACATATATATGGTGATAGCGTCAGGGCTAATGCTAAAGCTAACAGGCTAAGCTGAGGCTCTTCTTCCATGAAGCAGCTCTGTTGTCCTCCATCCACATTTTCAGTTACAGGCTGAGTCATTTCTACTTTCTCCTCTCTGTCAACGCTCTCTGGTTTCATTTAAAAGAGTCGATCATCAGATATTGTCCAAGATTAACCTTCAGGGTGGATATAGCTCGCTGACACCGAGGACCTATCCACGTCATCATTTACCCAGAATGCTTTGCGTGTAAATAAAATGGCCCCGTACGTGTAAATCTTTAGTTTAAAATTTATAAAAACTAAACTTCCTACAGTATTTTTAGTCTTTATTTTACAGTTAAAATATATTTATTAAATAAAGTTTAATGTTACAACTAATCATGGATCCCTTTAACAAAAACAAATTTAGACTCAAATGTCATTTTTGTGGTTCATACAGTTGTAGTTGGGACCCCAGTGGTGGTCGTATAACATTGAGGGTCCCCAGATTATCTTCAGAAATCCAAAAAATGTAAAAAAAAAAAAAGGGAAATTGGATATTTTTGCCTTAAATGTTACAAACAATCCAGCGTTTGACCTGCTTGGATGATCAGTTTGCTCGTGTTTCGTGGGGTTTGTTGGCAAAGTTTTTATACTTAAACGCCACACTGTTTAGCGGTTAGCAGCACCGCCAGCAAGAAACTGCAGGTTGGATGTGGTGTCTGTGGAGATTTTTGGTTACATAAAAGTAAACAATATTTTGAGTCTCAGGTTTATGCTCCTTTTTTTGTTTTAAGTGTATGAAGTGGAAAAGTTTGGAAATGGCTGACGTAGAGTGGAAAAAAAAATCTGATTGTAATACAATAAATAATCTCTTGGTCTTAGCTGTAAAATTCAAATCAGTTGTACATTTTTTACATCTTTCAGACATGTTTATGATTAAAGAAAAGATTCCAAACCCACAGTGACCTGACCACTTTATGTTGAATGTTTTTTTTTTATGACAGGCTGGAGACGGCTGGGGTTCAGACGTTGTAGGAGACTGGGGGGCCGAGGAGAGCTGGGAGTCAGTGGATGGAAGCCAGAGTAAGTCCTTCAGATGAAGTCGGATCTGTTTGTTCAGCCTGTTCTTTTAATCATCATCAGTCTGATTGTGCAGTGCAGAACCTTTTGAATCAAGGTGGGAAATACATTTGAGTGTTTAACTCTGTTAAAAAATTCTAAGAAGTTGAAGGAACATAGAGTCAACAAACGCATGTTCCTTACAAATGTAGCGCCATTTAAAAGGAAATTTAACAGGCTTTCCAACAATAAAAGAATTTTTGCACAGAATCGACCAAATTTCCCTACTTTTTGTGCCAAATTTATATCTTTTCTTGTGTCGTCGCTTCCTGTCGTACAGATCTCAGCAAGGCGGAGCTGTCCAAAAAGAAGCGCGAGGAGAGGAGGAAAGAGCTGGAGGCCAAACGGGCAGAACGTAAAGCAGCTAAAGGTCCTCTCAAACTTGGAGCACGCAAGCTGGACTGAGTTGGACTCGGGCGGGGCGGGGAGGCTGGAACACGGGTCTCGGTGGACCGCGTGCAGGATCCACGGCTGAGACGTTAAAGGACCAGAAAGAAGCGACAGCGGTGGGAAAACACGAGACAAGTGCAGAGGGACAGAAGTTACTGTCGCCAGTCAACGACTCGTAGGGTTGGGATTTCCTGTCTTTCCTTATTAAATAACTGATGAAGGTAAAGACAGAAAAGTGACTGAAATCCCCTGTAAAAAACAGACTTCAAACAGTACGGAGAAGTGTTAGTTTAACAAAATGTTCCGGTTAGTTGAATTCTGAAATCATTGCTGTTATACAGTAAATGTACAGAACCGGTGCATCTTGTCTTCAGAAGTGACGCTTTTTTTAAAAGAAATATATAAAAGACTTTCTAAATCCAACCTGCATTAATATAGTGAATGTTTCTCAGTCCACACTGTATGCACACACAGTGGACATGACTGAGTTCAGCTGTTAGACCTAACTCTGTGCATGCACGTATCAAACCCTGACCATGAAAACCAAAACAAAACAAAAAAAAAGGAATGACACAGGTGTTGTCTTTATTTTTGCACATGTAGCTCTGTATGTTGCTGTTGAATAAGTCCTGGAGTTGAGTGGTTACAGTAAAGTCACATTAAAATACACATTTTTGGGGCTTAACGTGAAGCAGCGAAGTCACAAAAACGTGCCGATTTAAACACGGGAATTCAGCTTCAAAAGAAAACTGACAATTTGTGTTTGTCGTTTCTTCAGGTGTTTGTTTTCAAGGATTCTTGGTCGTATCTAAAAGAAATGACAGACAAATCTAAAGAAGAGTAATTACTGTGTTATGAGAACTTTAGTTTTGGTCCAGTTGTATCACTCTGTTTTCACAGCTGGTGTTTTGACTACAGGCGCCGTCACGGTCAGAGTGGCCATGTTGTTCAGGGCAAGGACAGCTCAACAGTTAGCTGGTGAAGCTAAATGTGGTAACCATGAAGTCAAATTTATGAAACTCAGTTTGTCTTTAACAGCCCTTGTAAATTGATAAAGATGTTTTTCAGTACATACAGTGGTTTGCAAAAGTATTCATACCCCTTGAACTTTTCCATATTTTGTCACATTACAACCACAAACATAAATATATTTCAC